CACAATAAGGGTACAGTGCATTTGGCCTCTCTATTGATGTAAAGACTTCAGGTGTTTACCAATCATGACTGCCATGCAGCAAGCACTGTGGTTGCCATGCAACAAGCACTGCGCTATGAATAATATTTGACCAAGTATTCATAATCTTGACAAGACTCACCATATAAAGCTATTAAAAATACTTTTCTAAATTCCAACCAGCCAAAATAAGTGCCTTTCCAGACATTGACACCAAAGATACCAGTCAGTAAATAAATTATTGTCATCATCTGTGAAAGTAACAAGATAGGTTTGCTTGAACAAATATTGATCAATATGCAGATACAGTAAATTTTATGATAAAAAGCATAATTCTTATGAAAATATATAAAATATTCATAAAAAAATTACTTCGAAAAATTTTGCATGAGCAAAAAGAAGAATAGAAAAACACTTATGCCAAAAGAATGAAAGAATTGTCCTTTTCGCTGTATCCTTAATTTAGTTAGACTGTATGAATTCTCAAGCCTAAACACTTTGATAATATTGTTACAAGACAGTCCTTACCTACATGTAAGTAAACCTATGATTATTTAAATAGACATACTCACAATCTGTACTACGTCGTAACCCCATGGTAGGAATAAGACACCAGTGTTGTATTTCTCCCAATGTGAAGCAATAAAACATATCAGTATACACCATAGCACCCAATACATTGTAAAAACGCCTTCGCCAAAATCTTTTGTGTCTCGACTGAACACAGAGAATAGTGCAACAGATAAGAACATAGTTGACCAGCTGTCAACGCCATGGTCAAAGAGTTCACCTAGTGGTCCACTGGTCTGTGTCCGCCGTGCTTGTTTCCCATCGATACCATCTGCATAAAAGAAATTAGAGTCAGCTGCATAAATTAATTACTTCTAGGTTTAACACATCATCTGCCGTTATACACCATTTATATTGACTATGCATGGAGGCTTTCAGCAGTGAATGTGCTGAAGAAATTGAAGTTTTAATCTGTGTGTTTTGAACATATTGGCTATGCATGGAGGCTTTCAGCAGGTAATATGGTGCACTGTGACATTTAGGTGGTGCATGGAGATATGTAGGTGGTGCACTGTGACATTTAGGTGGTGCATGGAGATATGTAGGTGGTGCACTGTGACATTTAGGTGGTGCATGGAGAAATGTAGGTGGTGCA